TTGTTTTTGATATGGGACGCTGATACATTCTCCAGGGGCTGGGAATGTGACTCCATCATCAGAGTGCTTGTCCAGCCGGCCTTAGGCCCTGGGCTTCACTCCCCACACTGGATAGAGTGGACACAGTGGAGGACCAAAAGCTCAGGGTCATCACTGACTTAGTGAGTTCAAGGCTAGCCCTGGGCGACATGGAACCTTGCCTCAATTTATTTTAGAGATTACTCACATCTTAAAATTCTACAAAACTACTTCTCCGTGAACTCATGTCTCCCTTTTTAGTCACCTTGCTGGCACGACCCAGGTTGCTCAGTGCCATAAAGGAGCTTGCATATGGCTACTGGTTTCCCATCTCCTGTGATGGTCATGTCTGCAGGTGTTCAGATGGGACCCCCTCCTCAAAGGAAGTGGGGTCCCCCAGGCCAGGCATCATGCGGCTATGTGCTTTGTGCTGCGTCTTATGAGAAGGTCCTGGCTTCCTGAGGCAGCAAGAGAGACGGAAGAGCAGGGTACGGCCTGTGCAGAAGGTGCTGTGTGCCGTACCATGTCCAGGCAGGAGAGGCTTCGCGGGCAGTGCTCAGGAGTCTGACCTAGTCTCCCACGGTTGGAGTTAATTGCCCTTGAACAGGTTCCTTGCAAAGCTTAAAGTGCTGCCCAACAATAAATAATGCATGTATGTACTGGGTCAGAAGTGACCAGCCACCATGGCACAGCAGCCACACTCAGAGTACCCACAGCAGAGCCTCTCGGCTGCTCTGCCCACCCCGCTACCTACCTCCTGTTTCCCATGGTCCCTGTTGGCTTTGGCCATCACTTAGAGCAGAGCTGGATGCTGCGCCAAGTGGCCAGCAGTGGTACAGCATCCAGTTCATCAGCGCTCATAGCTAAAGGGGCCAGGTTCCCAACCACCAGGGTCAGAGTGGAGCTCTTTCCATCAGTGGGTGGCTTCAAAAGAACCTCAGCCGTCTCCCACCGGGGGCCATGGCTCAGATGCCAGTAGACACACAGCTGTGCTTGGATACTGCACAGAACACTGGCAGCTGCCAGACAAGCCTCACCCTGCCCTGCCATAGGGGGGCGGCTCCAGGCTGCCAGTGCCTTCCCACAGGAGGGAAGTGGCAAGGTTGAATGGCAGGAGCAACAGGAATCTATAGCAAGGGAGAAAGAGAAAGATAAAAAACAGACAGCACCCCGCCTGCAGCTAGCTGATGGGGAAGTGGGGGGTTCCAGGTAGATGGGGAGGGGGCATTTGTTTGTTTGTTTTGTGCTCTACTATAATTTTTAAATACCCAGAAAAGTTGTAGACTCTGCCTAGGACTTCATCTGAGAGGACAGAGGGGGGCAGCTCTCCAGATACTTCATTGCTGCCAGCTCCCTTCTCAAGTCCAGCCTATCCGATAGTGTGGTCACACCATATAGAGCAAAGTGTAGTTAGCCAGCGACGAAAGTGAAATCCTTACATCTGCTGTTTTGTTCTTTGTTTCAGTCATTTATCTTCTCTAAACATAAAAGGAGGGCAAACAGACACTCATAGAGCATTGGGTTTCTAAACAGACAACGCCACCAGGCTGCCACCTTATCATGACCAATTCTAACACTTGGCATCCAACAGTATCCCAACAGGTCCTTTAGTTTTATAACAGCCGTTGTGACCTATGGTGGAAACACAGTGTGGCTTCTTGTGCTTTACACTGACACCTCTAGGAAGGTTCCGTAGAAGTTTAGACATGTCCCCTGTGTGACAGGAACCGGAGAATTTTGTACAATGCTGAACTGGGTTTATTTATGATAGTTGTGAGGTTTTATTATTTGTCTTCATAGAACTACATCTGGTTCTGTCGTTTTTGAAAACTGAATGGAACATTCATAGCCTCAGGTTTCATTGGTAACCGAGGCTCTCTGAGAACAAATTTTACTTTAAGTCTTAATATCTGACAGCTGAGCCCAAGAGAATTATATTAAAAACACTCGTGAGCCCAGAAATTCAGGACAGACCTCCCCACGATTGGCAGGCACGCCATTAGGGTGTGGCACCCGTGTACAAACATGGAATCCACCAGGGCCAAAGCACTGGCCGGCATTACCTAGACAATGAAGTCATAAAACACTATGGTTTTATCTACATATCGAGGATTATAACAGTATTGTCTCTGGTGGATTATGCAAACCATTCTAGAACGTTGTGTATGGTTAGAAAATGCTAATTTTCATCATAGGAACTGCTGCCTAGTTAGACCCACTAGGCCTAAGTAACTTACAGATTGGTTTGTCTGCTACACACCTAAATGAATCTTTTTGATCGATGGCATTTGCCAAATGATTAAGAGAAATACCAGTTCTTTCAAAAGGCTGCTTCGTAAAGACTAACTGAATATGTATGTGTACTAGAGCTATATTTTACTTCAGTCCTCATCCTGGGTTGCAGAAAAGATTGTACTAGATGTACTAGAGCTATATTTTACTTCAGTCCTCATCCTGGGTTGCAGAAAAGATTGCTTCGTTCTGTCTTGTGTAGATCAACGTTTTCTGGAGACAACTGGGGCAGATCTTGGGCAGGAAATGATACCGTGTTTATATTTTTTAAAGATAGCTATAGCAAATCTGTAGTATTTTGAAAAAGGAAGGAAATAATAAGGTTAATTGGAAATTTCGAATTGTTGAGACAAGGGGGTAAGGCTTTTCGAGGGTGGTGCTGAATGCCAGGGCCAGAGACATGGCTGGGAGAGACGGGAAGATGTCCATCTGAGGCAGGACCTGGAAGAGAAACTGGGTTCTGGTGAAGAAACTGGGCTCCAAACTCAGTCCGGTTTTGCATCCCTGAAGTGGATATTTGACGGTGTGGCATCTGCCTGATCAGGGTTCCCATCAGTGAAACAGGTGCAGGTCAAATGGTCTTACCGTTTCAGGCAGACTCAGTGTTAGTTTCTTTCCTCATTTCTCCGTCAGAATGTCTAAAAAAGCAACTTAAGGAATTAATCTGGGTTACAGTTTAAGAGCTACCTTCCATTAGAGTGGGAAAGGCGTGGTGGCAGGAGAGGAGACCACTGATTGCATCTCAAGGCAACAGGCCCCCAGCAGTAACAGTCAAGCATCTGTGTGCAAATACCCAGGATGATGTGAGCCAGTGCGTAGGAGGCTTTGCCAAGTGTGGCAGAAAGAGCCTGCTTAGCTCACTGCAGCCTCCCAAGAACCTGTGCAGCGTGAGTGCTATAGAGAGAGCATTCATGAGGAGAGATCTCCCATCATCCCGCTCTGTACACAGGGGAATCAGAGGCTATCATTGGCCCAAGCTCAGAGAACTAACAACTCAGAGGTAAGACCACCCTGCAGCTGGTCCAGCCCTTCCCTACTGATCTGGGCAGTAGTTATCAACTCCACAGTTAGAGAACAGGAAATTTATCTAGAGAAATTGTGTTAATATTAGTCTTTAGAGACTCAGAAGTGACATATGAACCATGGGTCTCCAGATTCCCCACAGTGCTGCTTTATGGACTGTGTGTAGACTTAACAGATGTCAGGTGGACCTTGTTTGAAATTTAGAAGTGACTGTGTTCATGTGTTTCACACAGGACTTAATATCTCCGTGTTAGTGAAGCGATGGAACAGGAGCTTACAAGTATAGACTTCCGAGGATGGCAAGAGAATAGCTTGTCAACAAGCGTGGCTTTTGCTGGGGTGAATCCTAGCATTTGGGAGGCAGAAGCAGGCTTATCTGTGAGTTTGAGGCCAGCCTGGTCTACACAATGAGTTCCAGGACAGCCAGAGCTATAAAGTGAGACCCTGTCTCAAAAAAAAAAAAAAAGGAAGGAAGGAAGGAGTGGAGAAAGGAAGGAAAGAAGGAAGAAGAAAAAAGAAAAAAGAATTGTGGCACTTGTTTCTTATGTAGACTTTGTAAGTAAAATGTCCCTGGTTCTATGAATACTTATCATTTCAAGCATGTGGATGTTCATATGCATAGGTGTGCCCTGTGCGGTGCTTATAACATGGGGGGAGTTGTAGAGGGGTGTGCATGCGGGCACACACCTGTGGAGAGCACAGGCTGACATTGGGAATCTTCCTTGATTAATCTCCACCTCATTTGCAGTGTCTCTCACTGAACCTAGAGATAGCAGCCGCCCTAGCTTGTCAGCTTACCCTGGGGGTCCTGGGTCTCTGCCTCCTCAGCACTGGAATTAGAGACAAGTTGCAGCACCCACTTGGTTTCTGTGTGAAAGCCAGAGATGCAGACCAAGTCCTCACACTGGCACAATAGCCTCAGATGTCTGTTTTTTCAATCAGTAAAGGCAACGGAGTTTACATGAAATGGTTTACCTGCTTCTGATCACTATATAAAGAAGGAAGGTAGGGAGGCAGGCAGACACACGGAGACAAACAACAGAACAACCTTATTCCTCTAAGGGAAAACTTAAAATTTGCTAACTTTCAGTCATGGACTAATACGTTATGTAAAGAACTCTTCAGTATATAAACTTATTTCTAGTGTCTTTTAACTTCTTGTGTACCTACTGTGATTATCATTCCTAACAAAGCCACAATGCTGGAATGTTAATATGAACTATCATAAAGTATACAAACATTTTAGAAGCTCCATTCATTGCCTCATCAGAATTGCTTCAATGTTAGTCATTCATAAAGTGTAAGTCATTATTACCTTTTTGTTTCCAGATTTGGATTTTTCAGAAGAGTCCAGCTACATAACCCCAGTCAGCCTAGACTTCATGATCCCCCCACCCTAGTCTCCCGGACCCTGGCTGTACAGGCATCGTCACCACAGTAGGCTTAGTCTACTGTGTTAACATCCATTTAATCTTTAGCAATGAAAGCACTGTGCCCCTCCTTTGCTGGAGTGTATCTCCTTGTCTCCTTCCATTGAGCTCTTGGCTGGACGCCAGCTTCTGAGGAGAGGAACTCATGGAAATCACATTACCTGGCTACTGTTTTAGCTTTCTTCAGCAAATGACCGTCCTTCATTAATTCATATATTGTTTATCTGTGTCTTACAGGGGTCCAACATTTTCCAAGGCCAAGCTCCACTCTTATCATCAAGAAGATTTTAACAGCAGCCTTCCAAGCCATCAGCTCATTTTTAATGGGGGAGGGAGAAATGAAAATGTAAAGGTTTTTTTTTCTTTTGTAGTTAATTTTTTACCTGTTGTAGATTATTCATTAAAGTCCTTTTTTTAAACATCATCGCTTTCAATTGTCTAAAAAGCCATAAGGTGCCATCTACTCCTTTCAAAATGAAGAAGTATAGATACAAAACTCAAGTTAGGACACACCATTAAAAATTTAATTTTTAAGTAAATGCCATTTTTAATTTTAATTTTTAATTTTGCATATAATGTGTTAGGTGTTGCAGTGGGATTTTAAACATAATTTCTTTCTGTTGACCCTTCTGCCTTTTCTTCTTCAACCTCCTGCCACCCCTTGTTCTTCTACTCTTCACGCTCTCTTATCCGTTTCTATGTCACGTGTTTTATTACCTACTGTCTGTTATATGACCCACACACTCACACACTCACACTCACATACACACACTCACACACACTCATACTCGCATACATACACTCTCATGTACACACTCACACACTCATACCTACACACACTCACACTCATACATACACACACTCTCACACTCATACATACACACACTCACACTCATAATCACATACACACACTCTCACACTCATACTCACATACACTCACACACATGCACGCACATGCACACACACACACTCTCACACACACACTTAAAGCCAAGATATGCATCTGAGAGAATACATGTGACTTACCTTTTTTAATCTGGGTTGCCTAACTTAATATTTTCAAGATCCATCCACTTTCTTACAAATTGCATAAACTCATTTTTCTTTATGGCAAATGGATTCACATCGTATAGCTCGTATAGACCACAATTTAGTTATCCACTCCTCTGCTGATGGACGTCTAGGCTGGTTCCATTTCTTTACTACCATGACCAAAGAAGTGATAAACATGAATGGGCGAGCATCCCCAGGGATGCAGAGGACCCAGAGTCCCTTGGGTGTGTTCACAGGAATGGAGTAGCTGGGTCGTGCGGTTGTTCTAACTTTTGGAAAAAATTCTTTACTTATCACAAAACACCTGAGAACACGAGAAAGGAAATGTTTATTTTCCCTTACAGTCTGAAGGTAGTTCCTCACAGCAAGGAAACAGCAGCACCTGCAGTCAAAAAGAGGTGAGTGTTGGTGCTAGGTCACTTCCTGGGACTAAAACGAGCGGTGTCCCCCACATTCAGAGTGGGTCTCCCCACCTCAGCTCGGCATCTCTGTTTGCCTCCCAGGTTACCCGAACCCCCCTGGGGCTGAAAATAGAGATTAGCCATCACGCCATATCACAGTTTTCAGCTGGCTTTGTTCACTCAGAAAAGTTAGAGTCGCACTCACATTTACTCACATTTTCCCATGCACAGTAGCTCATTCCTTTTTGTTGCTAGATGGGATTCTACTCCATCAATGAGCCGTGATTCACCAATTGATGGACGCTAATGCTACAGCCCCAACATTTGTGCCCCCGCCAAATGCAAACTTGGAACCTAGTACCCAGTGCGCAAGTGTGAAGCCATCTACAGAAAATGACTAAGCCACGAGGGCTCTCGCTCTCATAAATGAGATGTGTGCCTTTATAAAAGAGTCGTAGACAAACTCCCTGTCCCTTTCTGCCATGTAAAGGAGAAGCAGTAAGTTGTCATTTGGGGAGCAAAGAGCAATCCCTTACCAGCCAACCAAACAGCAAGATCATCTAGAACTCCTCACCCTCAAGAAATGCCAGCAATGCATACCTGTCCCCTATAAGCTATCCAGTCTAAAGCGTGTTGCTATAGCCGCCTGAAAAGACTAAAATCATCTGGTCTTATATGACCCAGTCGTTACTAGATATATGAGCTTCTTACTCCTATTAACCGAGTTAGTCAAACAGGTGTGATGATTCATTTCCTCTCACATCTGAACTGTGGGCTGGTACCAAGTGTGGCAGGACACTCCCACAGGTGCTTCACACCAGAACATTGGTAGGAGGCTCCCGCATCAGTAACAAGTTCCCAGGAGGAAGCAAACCATCTTGTGGGTCACCAAGCCTCACCTAACTGTGGTGTGACTTCCGGTGAACTATTGTTTCTTTTCAAATAACATTGTTCCTAAAGGGAAAATCATGTGGTATCTGATGGATGGATGATAGGGAGAGAGAGACAGAGACAGAGAGAGAGAGACAGAGACAGAGAGAGAGACAGAGAAAGAGAGAGAGAGACAGAGACAGAGACACAGAGAGAGACAGAGACAGAGAGAGAGACAGAGAAAGAGAGAGAGAGACAGAGACACACAGAGAGAGAGACAGAGACACAGAGAGAGACAGAGAAAGAGAGAGAGACAGAGACAGAGATACAGAGAGAGAGACAGAGACACAGAGAGAGACAGAGAAAGAGAGAGACAGAGACAGAGACAGAGACAGAGAGAGAGAGAGAGACTTAGGGTTTCTATTGGTGCGTTGAAACACCATGACCAAAGCAACTTGAGAAGGACAGGGTTTATTTCCCTCACAGTTCCATGTAACAATTCATCATCCCAGCAGTGAAGTCAGGAACTCGGGACAGGAACCTACCTGAAGGCAGGAGCTGATGCAGAGACCATGGAGGAGTGTTGCTCACTGGCTTGTTCTCAAGGCTTGCTCAGCCTGCTTTCTTATAGAACCCAGGACCAGAAGCCCAGGGATGGTACCACCCACAATAGGCTGGGCCCCCCATATCCATCACTAACTAAGAAAATGTCCTATAGGCTTGCCCACAGCCTGATCTTATTTATGGAGGCATTTTCTACATTGAGGGGCTCTCCTTTCAGATAACTCTAGCTGTGTGTCAAGTTGACATAAAACTAGCCAGGACAGGTAGGTAGGTAGGTAGACAGATGAAAGATAGATGAGAGAGACAGACAGACAGACAGACAGACAGACAGACAGACAGACAGAGAGAACAGGGCATTGTGTTATTGCCTCTAACCCTGTCCTTGGGTATAGGCAGAGGATCAGGAACTCAAGATTCTCTTTGCCTACACAGCAACTTTGAGGACCATATGAGCTATGAGGCCCTGCTTCAAATAAAAGATACATACATGCAAATATATATAGATATATGTGTGTGTATGTATATGTATATATACATATATATATATATATGTACATAGAGATTATACAGGCATCTCTTGGTGTCCATGAAGAACTGGTTCCAGGACCCTATACAAATAATAAAACTCCATCACACTCAAATCCTTAAATAACATGGTGAAGTGTTCTCACATCCTACTGTCTATATTAAATCAACTCTAGACAACCTATAAAGCCAAACCATTTACAAATGGTAAATCAGAAAGTTGTACTGCTTCATTTAGGAAATGATGAACAAAATCTGTGTATGTTCAGTGAAGATGCAAGTCTTAAAAAACATTTTCTATCCTTGCCTGGTGGAATCTGCCAATAGAGAAGCCACCTGGAGAGAAGGCCAAGTTTGTGTGGATGTGTGTATGGGGTGGAGCGGTGGGAAGATCTTGCTTTATGAGATTCTTATCAAGAAATTGCTGGCAAAGTTCACATGAAAATGCCCTTGGCAATTTTGCATGATTGTCCTGCAATAACCACTCAGCCCGCATAAGGAGCCAGGGTCAGGCTCCATACTGCAGTCCACAGAGCAATGGGTAATTTGGTGCCACCTCCAATGGTCTTCCATAATAAAAGGGTCATCATAAGCTATTTCTGTTTCTAGGACAGATGCATATGATAGCAGTCACAGCCCGCCACGCCCAAGCAAAAGCTGACAAACTCCCCGTTTACTACAGGGCCTCTGATCTAAGATGGACTTTCCTAGCAAGGCTCCAATGGGCAAAGCCATAGAAGTTCTCCATTTTCAGGACAATGGAAATTGAGATGGAGGGAGAGAGACTGGGGAAGAGGAGGAGGAAGGAAGGAAAAGATAGAGACAAGGGGAGAAGAACAGAAGGGGAGAGGGGAAAAGGTTGCACTCCCCCCTATTTTTTCTTTGAGTCAAGAATTTAATTTAGGTCCAGTGTAGTGGAGCACACCTTTAATCCCAGCACTAGTAAGGCAGTGAATACTTGTGAATTTCTGGCCAGCCTGGCCTACATAGAGTTCCAGGACAGACAGAGCTATGTAATAGAGAGACCCTGTAGAAGAGGAGAAAGAGGCGGAGGAGGAGAAAAAGAAATGAGAAGAAGAAGGAAGTGGAGGAGGAGGAGGGAGAGGAGGGAGAGGAGGGAGGGAAGGAAGGAAGGAAGAAGTAGTTCCCTTCCTGATCTAGTATTCTGTTTACAGGACCACCAGACAGGGGAGGCCACACCCACAATGGTCTGGCCCTCCCACATCAATCACTAATTAAGAAAATATCCTATAGCTAGAAAATGCCCTGGAAGCATTTTTTCAATTGAGGGCGCCTCCTTTCAGATGACTCTAGCCTGGGTCAAATTACATAACACTAGCCAGGACACCAAGATATTGCCAGGTCTAGCACAGGGCTGGGCCCACAATAAATGCCCAGGGTGTCGCATGGACCAGTGAGCACATTCAGAGCAGGGAGGTCACGGCGTGGATGTGAAGAGTGATGGGTGTCTGACCTCCCCTGAGTCTCTTGTGGTGCAGAACTGCTGTATGTTTTGAAGACAGGCCTTTGTGTGAGCCTCCCATTGAGGGCTGTGCCAGTGTCTGCAGAGAAAGGTAGCCAGACAGTAGGAGCTGTCACCCAGGTTGTGCCAAGCCAGCTCTGCTACCTGAGTCACTGTTCCTGGTCAGCAGGCAGGCAGCACAGTGTCTCGTGCGTCCTAAGCGGAGGTATGGTGTCTGTTGGTGCTGATGGAAAGCCCTGGGACTTGCTGAGGCTGGGTGAAAGGAGAATGTTTCTCCAGCAACATGGGCAGGCGGGCAGCTCGTGCCCTCAGCAGTTACCCAAATGGCTTCGCACTTCTTGTCAGCCCCCAAATGTCAACAGGACAGTGGCTCCAATGACTTGCAACAATGTTTACAGTCACATCCCTTCCTGCAGAAGGCTGACACCATGGAAATGACTCAGTTCTCCTTTCCCCTACTCCATCTTCAAAAACAAAACAAAAGCTATTACATTTGTTTATTTGAGTGTGGGGAGTGTGCATGTTGGG